ACAGAGGAAGAGGAACAAGAGGACAGAGAAGCCAAACCTTTAGCCTGCGTTCGTTGGCAGTGTGGATATCCTCATCAGTTGGTTTCAGCACAAAGACTCCTTTGGACCATTCCTCAGAGATCTACAAACATCAGCAGGTGATGTTTATTATCATACCATATTTATACCACGATGATTATTAAATACAGGGAGGCTACTGTCAGGTAAGGAGCCATTCATTCCAGCACACATCACAGTTTGTGAAGGAAAGACATACCTTTTCCAGGCCACCCAGGATCTTCTCCAGCTCAGTTTTTGATAGGATTCCAGCCTTCTCCAAGGCTTTGGCATAAGCCATGCTCCCCTGAATATCAACTTCAGACAGTCTCTGATCATAGGAAATGGAAGCATTGAGCATCTCCATGATTGGATCTGTGCTTCCACTGAATCTTCCTCCCCAAAGTTTATCCCCCTGAGAGAGAAAGAAACAAGTTAAAGAGGCCTGATAACTTCATTTCAGCTTCTGTGTACTATGTAATATCTAATGATCTGTTTATCCAACACAGTGGCCATGCCACTGTCCTTTCTGACCAGAAACACCCCTGGACTTCAGGATCTTTGGAAGTAGTTGAAGACAAGGAGAACACATCACAGTCAGTATTATTTACCCCTGAGCTGTGATGTCTAGCTCAGGAACCATCCAAGATACTTTACCTCTGGAGGACTCTGCAGGGAGTCCTTGAAATTAATATCAGGGCACCTGGTGCCAGACCAGCATGGATTTCTCTTTTGAGGCAGCTGCAGGTCAACAACCCTTTGTCAGCCTTTTAAAGGGGGTAAAAAGTAAAGCAGTAAGGATTAGAGTGAAAGTTAGTATCCTCTAAGCCCTTTTTGTGCTGTTTAACAGATTGTTCTTTGATTGACAAAGAGCTGTGGGCCAGCACAAGCCACATTATGAAGTGTTTGAAGTTACCATTTGAAGCATCTCCAGACTTCATGATGTGCTTGCAGGCTTTGGTGTAAAATCAGCATGATAAGATGCACGTGGCAGAAAGGGAATCCCAGGTTCAGGAATGTTCGGAAAAATAAATCAACAAAAAGGTGTTGAAACACATGGAAACAAAAGGGGCTTTTTGCCACCCAAAGCAGGATTCACACAGTGACCTCACTCGAATGAGTCCCCTGCACAGCTCCTTCACTGGGTGACCAAAGGCAGGCACACAATCCCAGCAGGGTGTGTGTGACCCTCTGCCTCCAGTGATTCAGCACCTGGATGGACTCACTGGCTCAGCCCACGTGTGTCACTTGTTGAGAAGCTTTTTGCTTGCCCAGGTAAGACACCCCCCAAGCCCAAACTCTGCCAGACTTGCACTGAAGTGGGTAAGAATTTTACCTGGGCAGAGGCCTTACAGCTTATCAAAGACTTCAAAAGCAACTCTGTGGTGCTCTCAGGCACCAAAAAAAAGCAATTGAAGGACACTTGAAGTGGATAATAATTAATAATCTACTTGATTTTCTAAACACCCCTGCCAAGTCTCTTCTCCTGCTGTTCACTACAACTACCATGGACAGCAAGGAGCTGGCAGGACAGTTGTAAACTGATCTGTGCTGGGGCTTTACCAGTCACACAAAGCACTGTTGAGTAACCTCAGGAATTTTTTCCCTAGTGACTGTCTCCGTGTCTGTGCTGATCCCTGCTGAAACAACGGGCCTGAGAGGACAGCAGGAGAGAGCCTACAGAGGTAGGAGTGTGGGCAATGTGCTTTTGGGTATCTTTAAGGCAGCTTTGTCAGAAAGCTGAGGGAAGGCAGATGGGGGGATCAGAATTTAAAAAGAAATGTCAGAGGTCCTCAGCACTCATTTGGTATCCTCAGGAGCATGGCACAGGGGATGCTAAATGAAAGGCCATTCCAGAGGTTAAGCACTGGACTGGGGAACAGAAATTTCCAGGCATGACTTAAGTATTACAGGTTTCCATCAAAGTAAGAAGTGGGTCAGCAGAAACATTGCAACACATCCATTTGCAATCAGGAAATCTAAACTGAAAGATTAATTTTAGGCAGTTGCAGGGCTCTGGTTGGAGCAGTGGCTGTACAGCCTGACAGATGATGGGCTGTAACCTGGAGCAGAGGAGACCGGGGCTGTAGCAGCCATTTGGAAGCAGCAAGTGTGACTCGCCAAGCTGCCTGGTCACGTCTCACCAGGGAAGGAAGCCGAAAACGCAGCTTTTGTTCAGGGAGGTGTTTACCCAAGCTGCTGGAAAGTGCCTCCTGCCCAAACACAAGTCGTCAGGCACGAACTGCATCGCTTATTGGCCTTCCCCAGGCCCGGGGCAGAACCTGGAGGCTCTGGGACTTACAGTTTAACTCGGCTGAGCCCCCCGGAGAAGCAAAGTTCGCCCTCACCTCGGCTGCCATTCCGGACGGCGTTTGGCGACCCCGCAACTGCAGCGAGCTGCGGGACGGGGCGGGGCGGGCAGGCTCTGATCCGGGGCCCGATCCCAGTCCTTGTCCCGGTCCCGATCCCCGACGGGGTCCCGCCAGCCCCCGGCCCCGCTCCGCCCGCAGCCCCGGCCGCTCTCTCGCCGCTCCCCGCGTTCACAGCCCTCGGTGCGGGGCCGGCGGCTCGTCCCGCCCCGCCGGGGCGGAGTGTCCCCGGGCCAGCCCCGCTCCTGTGCCCCCTCCCTCGATGTCCCCGCTCCTGTGCCCCCTCCCTCGATGTCCCCGCTCCTGTGCCCCCTCCCTCGATGTCCCCGCTCCTCTCCCCCCTCCCTCGATGTCCCC